AGGGAGGAATATGAAGGTCTGGAGGAGATCAATTAGAAAGAAAACAGGATTTGGCAGGGGTGTAAAGGAGATGAGAGAGTGTAGTTGGGATGAATGTAATCGCAATGCAGTATACAAAGGTACCATATTGTCAAATTTTTTAATATTTAAATTAAAAAATGATACAGTTAGGAATTAAACCCTTTCTCTATTTGCATATCATGTATTATCTGTAAAAGTCTAAAAGAATGTTTAGAAAAACTTCCTGAACTAATAAGAGAATTGTTCCAAAAGTAAAATTCTTACATATACATAAGCACAGCATGCACAGAATCTGTGTGATGAAAACACAAAACTAAGTAGAGATTAAAGAGATGTAGATAGAGACACAAGAGTTTCATGAATTAGAAATCTGAATATAGCAGAGGTATTCAAATCCCCCACATGACTGTATGAATTTAATTGATTTGCAAGCAAATTCTCTCACAGAGCTACACCGATATGAACAATCTGATCATAAATATAAGGGAAATAAATGGAACTAAAACAAAATAATTTCGAAAAAGAAAACTAAAATGAAGAGAAAGTCTGCAATACAATTTTATGGTTTACTTTAGGATGACTATAATCAGGCCAGTGTGATATCAGCAAAGAGTATAAACATAGGCCAATAGAACGGTTCAGAATATTCTGAAATAGACCACATAAACACACCTCATGAGTCTGTTGTAAATAAAATTTCCACAAACATTAAAAGATGATTCAGTGAGTAAGTCTTATTATTACCAAAAAAAGGACTTGGAACCATTGAACAATCAGATGTGAAGAATTGAACACTAGCTCAGACTTCATTGCTTGGCCCTAAATTAGCACAAAATATATAAACTACATGTAAAACTTCATGTATAAATTTATTAGAAGAAAATGTTTATGACCTGGGGTTAGGCAATAAGCTTAGACACACTAGAAAGAAAAAATAAATTAGTCTACATTAAACTTAAAAGTCACTAAAACAGAACACAATCTATAGACTGGAAAAATATTTGCAAATCACATAACTACAAACTGTGTGTGTGTGTGTGTGTGTGTGTGTGTGTGTGTGTTACATATAAAATTATATAGTGTGCAATATGTAAGATATAATATAATATATATTAATATCTCAAATTCAGAAGTAAAATCATGAACGACATAAAAATAGTTAAAAGATAGGAGCAGACTCTTCACCAGAGAGAGTGTAGGAGGATGTGAAAAGATATTCCCAGCATCAGTTCTTACAGAAATGAACATTAAAGTAATGAGGTGGCACCACAGGCTGTCACAATGACTAGCATACAAGGCATAGGCGATCAAGGCTGGAGCGATGGCTCAGTAGTTATGAGTATTTGCTGCTCTTCCAGAGGACCTGATTTTACATTCCAGCATGCACATCAGGTCAGGGAACTCATAACTACTTGTAACGTCAGCTCCAGGGAATACAACACTTGACCTCTGTAGACACCCACATTCCCAGAGTACACACATATGCACATACACACACGTGTGTGCGCACATGCACACACACACACACACACACACACATGCACACACACACACACACACACAACTAAAAATATAAAACTTAATAACACTGACAATAACAAGGACTGGGAATGTTACTCAAAATCTAGGTCTTTCTTACGGTGCTATTAGGAATGCAAAATGATACCACCACTCTGGAAAGTCTGGCTGGTTATTATGAAGGTAAGGACACACTTAACAGAGGATCCAGAATTCCAGATACAGAAATGTGTAAAGATGCTTTATTCATTATTGTCCAAACTCTGAAATAGCCTACCGGTCCTGGAATGAAAAGTCAAACTCTGGTTAATTTCCACAGTAGAATGACAGTCAGCAACGCAAAGGAACACATGTGGATCCAAAACCTTATGACCATGAGTCAGGGCAGCTGTAGAAAGTTGTCATCTAACAACCCCATTCTATGATATTTCCTAAGGGACAAACTGTGGTTGTTGTTTGCAAGGAGTTGGTGTGATAAAAGTGTGTCGCAAACACACACACACACAAACACACACACACACACACACACACACACACACACACACACACACACACACACACACGGGTCTCAGATTCAGCTCAGTGGTTGAACAGTGCCTCTAGATGCATGATCTTCTAAACTCCATGTCCGGCATAAAAATAGATACAAAGATACAAAAGGAAGTTTTGGAGGGGTGGTGGTAAAACTCTCTGTCATGACTGTGTTGGTCGTTACACCGGCCTCTACATGCATTGAAATTCATAATATCAAACGAGTGAATTTTATTGCATTAAAATCTATGAAAAGAAAAAGAATAGCTGAAGATAAAGACTGATAAGATCAGGATGTGAGAAGTAAAAGAAAACATATCCAGGGACGGCTTGAAGTATGACTTCTAAGGTTAAATATTTGCAAACTCCACTTCTCTGGTCATCAAATGAGAGCATGCACGCTGCTTGAATGTTGAATGGAATACTTTTTGTGCTCAGTGGATACCCCAACACACGACGCCTGATGGATGGCTAATGTGTCATATATTGTTTAACATTTAAACACTCTGGGACAGAGTAAAAATTTCTGTGTGGGGATTTTTTTTCTGCCGGCTTCTGTGGCTTTTGAATTACGAGGCACAAACTACCCACGTGTCTTTTTCAATAAATCTGGTAATAAATTCCTTTCCCATCTGAGTTGTCCATGGCAACAAGAACATAAATGCAATGCATTCCAACACAGGAGACAAGAGGGCATGGACCAGAGAATTACTCATTTCCCGTTTCCTTACTTCATATGGCTGGGAGCATTAACTGCTGCTCTAGCCAAGTTACAGGCCAGCTAGTTACTTCCTCCCCAAATTTCACACTGTGCTTTTAACTGGACACATTTTTTTAAACTTCCTGCCTTAAATCGTATGTCTATATCTCTTTTCCACAACTACAAATACGTGTCTACATGAAGATGAAATTCAAAAGCATCTGAAGGTGGTCATTTTCATAGAAAAATCAGTGTGCTTCTTTAAAAGGCATTATATTTGCCTTCCAGAAGAGAATGAGCTGAGTAGGCGTGTAGCAGGAAGTCCCTTGTCTCCAGTGGGAAGACAGGTAACTGGACAGACTATTCGTAAATACCTGATGGCCTTGAGTTTTCCTGCTACACAAAAAGCAAGCAAGGCAGAGGACTTGCTAACAACTGATACTTGGTGCAACATCTAAAAGAACCATGATCTCCATCTTTTATTCTTAGTGTCCATGAAAAATGTAGGACAGCTGACCTGCCACACCTACTGCTTTTCAGAAATGTCCAAAG